TCAGATAATTAGAATCTTTGTGACGTATTACGGTCGGACTCACAATTAATCGTTGAGGAAAGCTACGTTATACAATATGCTACTTTCATGGATAATATGTAAATTGCTCCCAACAGGATGAATAGGATGCTAGAAGCTATTTGAAATGAAACTCGTGGAACTTGAAGTCTTCTGGGAATTTCAGTTCTCGGCTTATATTAATTATGAGGCCAATCAGCTATATATATATCTACATTTTCATAATTCATATGTGCCTTCAGGCAATCGAAACGAATCGATTGAATTTAAAGATCGTTTTACATAGCGTATACGTGATAACAAAAAAATTTCCGTATAGTTTATAATATTTGAAATTACAAATTAAAAATAATCAGATTTTACAGATTTAACAAATACTGAATATACAATGTAAATGTGATATTACATTATCGGTACATTATCGATACATTATCGGTCTTCTTTCAAATAATATATTTTTTAAATAGAATATTTAAAAACTGTGATTTAGCATGAAACTATATATATTGTAAATATTTTTGTAAAATATGCGTAAAATAAATTATTTTCCGACACAATTCTTTCGAGAAATTATACAAATTCGGATTTTATTTGCAAATTTTCGTTCCTGTAAGGATAATTTTCCCACATATTTTAAGTGCGGACAGGAATTAGAAGTTATCATAACATAATTTACATACAAAATTTAGAACGTGAAATTTCATGTATGAAACTACGATTTACATGCGGCGGTTTCTGCGACAGACCACGGCAGAAAGTTTCAAGCTTTTCCACATTAGTAATTTTTTTTTAAGAAAAATATACCTGTGCGGCATAAATTACGATTCAACCTTTTCCATATGTTTAATACTGCTACGTATTTCGTATCGTTGTAAAATGGCTTTTATCGTGAAATTTTCGCACGGATGTCAACGCAATTAAAATTAGCCGTGTGTAAATGATTAGGTCTTTACAGAATCTTCAAAGGAGTTTAAAGCAGCAGCAAGCAGCAGGCGTTATATACTTGCGACAACTTTCGTTTGATCACAGAACCCACGTTGTGACTGCCAATGAAACCCGCCCTATAACCTTCTTGGTGCAACCTACTCTTTATTCTACGTCGAAGTTTTCGTAATTTTTATCGTAGTTGCCGTCCATTTTTCTTGAGGACAAAAATTTAGACTATACGGAGGATCCGGAAAAAAGAAGCTTTTAAGAGTATCTGGCGAAGTTTGCCCTTTAAAAGGAACGTTCTACTTTATGTTTTCGTTGGTTGCAGTCCGAAGGAAAAATCATTCTTCGTAAAATTGATTATGCATTATGGATGGTCGCAAAAACCCGAGTTTCTTGAATTTTTCTTAGGAATGATAGTAAAATTTATCCTTGATAAAATTGAAAAAATAGATTCTCACATTATCGAGAAGTATTAAAAGAATTGCAGAAAAAGAGTGTTTTTGGATTATATTTCTTTTCATTTGAACGAAAAAGAAATGTATTCTTATTGTATTCTTATTGTAGATATTAAAGTGCATATGTCCCTCAATATCTTATTGTTAGTTGTATTAAAATCTTTGTTTCTAGAAATCGGTCCAGTGTGGTTATTGAAATCTTTATTAAAATCTTTTATCTGATTCGTAAAAGAAGTTCTCTTGGGATAAGCAGCTCACTTTTCTCAAAGTTGTTCAGGACTCCCGACGGAGTCCTTTGATGATCCTCTTTCTTTCATTTCCTCACCACTCTTTTCCATTTTTTAACGATCTTTTTTAGCGCTATCTCGCCTTGCTAATGTCTCTTCTCCACTATCATAGTCACGCACTTAACTATCGTATTTCGCATAAGCGTACCAGTGTGAGTAATCCATTTGTGTGCCGTGGATTCTTAAGCTAGGAAATTTTACTGCGGCGTTTTTGCGGTTGCGCAAAGGGTCGTCGCCATTTAACATCCTCTTAGCAAGGATTCCACCGTGAGATATAAAACTTGAACATCGCCGGGACTTTGTCGGTCTCTCCGTGCGCGGTGGTACCGTGTTGATAATAATTCGGTTACCGCTGTTATAGCCAGCCGTAACCCGGCTCGCTGCGTACGTAATACTCACAAAAGCTCGATAAAGCTATTATATTTAAATAGGATTTTACATATCGTCATTGCGTAGATATTCGGACATCCGGATATCGAGGGGAAATACATTTACGCATCGAGGGATTATGCGTTTGATAATATGACTGCACGAGTATTACATTTTGTATAATCGTCGGCTTAAGCGATAAAACCTTTAAATCTCTAAATTTTTTAGTTATTTCATAATTGCTTAACAGGATTTATCTAATTAATATTAAAATAAAATGTTTTAGTGTCTCAAAATATAAAATTGTTTTATTTACTTATATTCTGTTACGATTATATGCGCATCTTTTTTATCATTTTAAAGCTAAAAGTCTCGTGGGTATGATTATTAAATAATCTTTGCCAACTGTTGTGTTAATTAATTAAAAATGTGTTTCGGTATATGATTCGTATTTGCAAGATGTATTTGCAAAATACAATCGCGAGTTATTACAGGAATAATTCAATGTTCTATGATTGCGGTTGATATGTGTGGTAGATTAACAAACTTTATTTAATAAAATGTCAAATTTACAAAATGATCCCATTAGCACGGGAAAACGAGTATTCTTTTGCCTTTGTGTTGATTACCAATTGTTCTCTAATTGACTCGGTCACAGTCAACGACCACGCTCTCGTCGTTAGAATGACCTTTGTGTCACGGAATATTAATAATCAAACTTTGTGATAGAGTTAAAAATTTAAAATCTACTTTACCCTGTCGTTCAGCTGAGATATGCAAACGCGAATTCGTCACGCCTAAAATGCATAGAAATGTTGCATTCGCACTTCGCCTACGTGTGTTTCCTATCCCGTCAAAAACCAACCGATGCTCTCTTCTCTCGTCCGACACGAGTCTGGAGATCATTTCTTACGGAAAACCCATCAGACTTTTACGATGCCGCGGATTAACGACACGCGGCAAGAATCGGCGGAAGTGCGGAGTCGACATATAAAATATTTGCGAATGGCGCGCGCCCCGCGTATTTTCGCGCCGCGGGCCGTCGGTGTCTCGTACAGTTTGAATTTTCCGTGAATTAACTGGAACAGTAGCTGCAGGAACATTTCTGCTTCTTCGTGTACCGGTTTAAGTTCCGGATGGGTTAGTTTAACGAAAAGTGCGCGCTCGCGCTGGCTGTTTTCTCGTGCTTCTTCGGTAGAGCGTTAGATAAACGGATAGATAGATAGGAATTTTATTCAGAATCTTCGAGCGCGTTCTCACGATTACACAAAGAATCAGGGGAAGAAGTACGGACGTGAACGCTGTAATCGCCCGTGCTAAGCTGGAAAATATTCTCGAGAACGATTTCGCTTGTATGACTTACTGCGTTATTAGGATCGTAGGAGGAAAGAGAGTTTCAGCTGTTTCAGCGACGCGTGCTGTATATCCTCCGATCGTATCTCGATCACTATTTTCGAAAATTCGTTGGAAAACCGTGTTGGTATATGGATCATGCTGGAACAGTTCAACTTATCCATTATCGAGTCGTAACAGAGAGAATAGCTATGAGAATCGGAGAAACCGCAACCGCGGGAACGGTTTTGTTTACCGCAGTTCGGAGAAACTGCCATTTTCGGTAAACCTATTGCTCCCGGCAATACCATCGCCGAGCTTCAAACGAAATCGTTTAGCCTTAAAACTTGCTTGACACGCGACTCTACTTAAGATGCTGCATATAGCGTTTTGCTCTTTCGATGTAAAACGGATAATATAGAGTTCCTCAGAATTTCTTGTTGATTACTTCAACCCTCTGTATTACTTTCTTTTATGTTAATTGACTGAAATATTCGTACATTAAGAGATATTAAAGCTCGTATAAGTTAGGCGATCTAGAAAAATATAATTTTTTAAATTGTTTTCTCTATTTCAACATTAATTTATGTTGTATTTATTTTCCTTTTTTCTTGTAAAATGTACATTGATATATAATTAGCAAAATTGAAAAATATATTAGTCATTTCTTTGATAGAACTTTTTCTCCGACGAGAAATGGACCATTAGGATTATTTGCGTGATATTAAGATCCAAGGGTTTGCTTTTAGTTCTTACTCGCTTTCGTTGATTGGAACGAAAAAGCGGTTAAGAAAAAAAGTCCATTTGAAGAAGACATAAGCTTTCCATGGTATTATACATTTTTTGTCTTATTGTTTGTTTAGATAAATGGAAGAGGAAATAAGTAGTAGAATTGTTTTTTTTAATGTTCTATTAGTATCTTTAGTGATTGGGATATTCTTAAATAAACACACATTAAATATGATTAGTATATTAAATGGATATACTTACTTTCTTCTCTTTTGTGATATTTTTAAAGTTTTATTATAAACAATTTTTGCATAATATTTTGTATTAGAAGATACAACAGAAAACTACATTAGAAGTAAATGTTATAATAATTATAAAATAAATGACAATAAAATTTATATTATAACAATCGCATTATATTATACGCGATTTCAATACAGAATTTTTAATATTTTTATATTTTTATTAAACAATTATAATATCGGTCATTTCGCGAGAAAGGCTAAATCTTTCTTAAATGAAAAATCAACAGCGGTATAACTTTATCATGATTTTGCACGATAAAAAGAATTGTACTGGAGGATTAAAGAGATATATCGTATGGCAAAAAAGAGAAAAAGAGAAAAAAGAGAGATGAGAACGAGAGAGAAAGAGAAAAAGAGAAACCCGACGGCATCATCCTGAATATAATTCCGGTTTTCGTATCGGGGAAACAGAATGATTCTGTGCGTAAATACAAACTGTTGACCTGCCCTTTCTGAGACTCGAATCCTGTTACGTATGACCTACGGCGATGTTTCATTTCACAATTGTGACGATGTCGCCGATCCGATTACATCCCTCGTGTGTGATATATATCGGGCCTGTTTGTTCGCAGAGAGGGAGGTCTGGTATGAAGCGGCGACGCGGGCGATCGAGATGCGGATCAGGGAGGCAGCGAGTACCAGCGTCAGCGGCACGACGCCGCCGGCCGGGGTGGCGCGCGGCGTCGTCCTCTTCGTCGGCGACGGCATGGGGATGAGCACCCTCACGGCGGCGAGGATCTTCGCGGGTCAGCGGCACGGGAACCCGGGCGAGGAGACGCAGCTCGCGTGGGAGCGCTTCCCGGCGGTGGCGTTGGCGCGGGTGAGTACCGAGAAAATGCAGACGAATCGCTTTTCGTATTTTTCTTTTGTGTGGTTTTTTTTTTACCTTGGCAACACAACACGTAAAACCGTTGCTTTACGTGCATCAAATTTGTTGCGGTAAACTGTCCGGGGGGTCGGAGCACGCAAATCGTTAGATTGGCGCACGTAAGACCGACGATTTACGTGTTGCGCCGTGTTCGCGGTAAATTGGAAATTGAAAAATGTCTTCGAACATACATACACAAAGCAAAAACGGCATTTTGTAAGAGTATACTTGGTAAAACCTAAATTTCCGGTAGGCGCAGCAGCCTAACGTTTTGTTTTTAGGGCAAATTTTATTTGAATTCTAACAATAAGGGTAATTTAATCTCCAATTATTCAAACACTAATTTTTTTAATTGATTATCTTCGACGATTGCGGTAGTCGAACATGTATTTATGAATAGAAATTCTTAATTCTTTATTAAAGCTACGCATTATTACACTTATATTCTCTCTTATTATTTCGCGTTCGTGTCCCTTTTTTGAGCATTTCGTGTGTAAATAATCGATAATAAGTATATTACTCCAGCTCGACCGGATATTTGGCCGTCTTATTGTATAACTCGTTCCTCCTGTTGACTTGGCAAATTCCTTGGCAAAGTTAAATTTTTCTTTGGCAAAAATTGGATCGGATATTATTTTCCAGAATTCAATTTTTCGCATGAAATAGTTCGATAACTATGCATAAAATGAAAATTCTGTGTTGAGATAAAGTACACGGAAAATAGAATGAAAAACGATATTTTGTCATTTATTTACATTGAATAGATTAAACTTTGATTTTTAAAGGTTTCTAATTAAAAAAAAAATTACTGCTTGAAAATATTTTTCTTAATTAAACGGTTTTTATGGTCAATACGACACACATGCCTACACGATTTGTGCAGATTATTAACTGAGAATTATCGTGCGTGTTTTTTTTTTGATGACACGAATAACCTCGAGAATTGTTGATGCTCGTTTATAATATGCGCGAAAGAAAAATTTCCAATGTGATGAATTCACTTCGTTAAGGCGGCAGGATATTTGCATGCAAATTTAATCGAAACCCGTGTACACACACTTCTACGTGAATCACAGATTGCTTATTCGTATTTTAATTAAGCTTACAGTTAAATGCTCGCGTGTCTGTTTTTCTTTTGTTTGTGGCGGATATCTTCTGCATTTTGCACTGCAAACAAAAGCGAACTAATACCCCATCTCGTACTTAATTAGTGTGATTAATTTAAAATGTGGTAGTCTTGTTTGGTCAATATGTTTGTTAAAATTCGTATCTCTTCGTTTTACTTTCCTATCTCTTAATATGTACGAAGGTTTTTTCGTTAACTTTCGATTTCGAGAAGTGAGTTTAAAAAGAAATAACATTGTAAAATATGAAGTATGAGAATATAAATCATATAAATGTAATAATAATGCGTATCTTTAGGTAATATGAATTAAAAATGTCTAATCATACATGATCTCTATCGATCGCAAGAGATAATAAATTAAATAACTAATGTCCGCGGTATCTTCTTTGATTTTCCTCGATGAGCAAAGATATTGGAAAGAATTTTGCAATATCTTTGCAAAGATATTGCGAAGATTTTTCGGGATGGAGAAAACCGCTATTGCTTGAAGATTTACTTATCATTGGCACTTCCTCGATATAACGGAATTGAAGATTTACAACAGATTTTCCATCTGTCGTTTTTCATAACACTAATTTATTACTTTCACAAAGCGAAAATTGCCTGAGAATAAACACTCAGGTGCTTCCTTTGATCTCGTAAGTGAAGAATAAACGGAGATAAAGAAAAAGTATTGTCACGGATCAAATTCGTCGAACGTACTTATTATTCTAGATACATTTGTCGTACTAAAAAATCGTGATTAGGATTAAGAGAAAAACGGTTTATTTTTGAAAATTTTACCCAACAGAAATGTAATACGCTATCCCGCTATTATGTTTTACTGTTTTATTTTTATAAAGAAAAATCTACAAATGGATTTATAATCTTCTTTGAGGTTTTAAAAATATTTCTTTAAATTTACCATATCTAAATGTAAATTAAATAAGACGATTTATTTTACGCTATTTTTAATAATAAAGTAGAATGTTATTTAAGTTAATTCAGTCTCGAGAATTTAAATTTTTGTAATAAAATGTTTTTATTAAGATAAGATAATACAGGACAAAACCACTTTTTTATTATAATTTAATTTCAACTAAATTTTACCTTAACAGGAATTTAATTCAGGATTTATCCATTAAAATGCTCTGCCTCAAAGATTAAAATGCATTTCTTAAGAAGTTTTCATTAAAAGAGATCAACTTTAAATCTCGTATCATTTACAGATTATTCAACTAAAAAAGTGTAAAAAGATGTTAACGTGGTTGTGGGAATCAAAATCCGTTATTGTAACATAAATATAAATTACAAGTGCTAGAAAAAACGAAATTTTACATGGAACCAAGTATGTAGAATATTTTAAAAATAATGTGTGTTTGAGAATTAACATTATCAAATTTAGACAGAAATATATACTTTTTGGTATTATCGCCAAACATCGCTAACAGTCTCATGACTTTTATGACCAATTTTTGCCTATTTTTAGTTTTCATTTTAAATGAAAATCCAAAGTTTTAAGACTTTCTTAAAGGAAAAAAATAATAAGAAAAAAAATAATCATACTTTTGATATTTATTCTAACGCGTAATTGTTAAAGATTATTGTAAGAGATTTTTGTTAAAGATCGTGTGTGATTGTAGCGTAGTTTCGCAAAAATACAGATCCAAGATCAAGGTGCACTTTCTAAACTTGAAATTACATGACGTGCTACAAGCGATTCGTTGTCGAAACTTGTTTTCCGTAAAGGGATTCAAACATCCATCACGGATGATATCGGTGTTTGCGCACAAATGCGGCCGTATACGTATTACCCCCTCACACATTCTGTTTCCCATCTATCGTGTCGGGCGTGGTTCTTCCGTGGTACTTTTACGTTCCGAGAGTGGCGCATTCCGGAGCCATTGAGAGGCCACGGAGCGCGGAAACTTCTCCGTAAAGTCCCGAAGGATTTTAAACACTCTAACTCTGCATTGATTACAGACTTGCTTATTACCTCGGTTGATACAATCTCGCTTTCCGTTCTCTTCGAATCGAAGTTGAAAGCGAGCGAGTCGAAGTCGAAGTAAAGCTTTTGAATTTATAGGACTTTCCAAAGAATGTAAGATGCGCACATATGACGTTCAAACTTTACCGAAAAATTTTCTTTTATAATTTAACTGGGTCGTCCCTCCACTTTCTTACGCGGTGCAAAGTGCCGCGAGACGTTACATAAACTTTTATACTTTCGCGCTCTTTTCAAAATTTACATTGCTTTAACAATAAGCTAATTTGCACAAATATCGATTTTGCCGTTGCATTATCCCTCCCGATGGCGAGGGGTAAATATTATCTCTGCGAATTGAAGCGCGTTTGCGGTCCCACGACGTGTAGAACCTTTTCTTTACCTCGTAATTTTTCTCGTTCTTTGTCAAGTAATATTATTGTTTCTCGTTCTTCTCGCCTGCCGTCTCTAGCACTCTTGTCCCTCGGTGACGTACCGTAGGAAGTGTTGTTGGTCGGGAACAAAGTTTCTCGAATAGTCCCCTGGGAACTCTCTTGAAGGACTAGACTGGTGTTGATAGGGGACTTGTTTATTTTCGCGCAGATGTAAGCAGGGCAGCGTATACAACAGTCTCTGAACGAAAACAAAGTGCAGGTTGCATATGTAAATATGGGTTCTAGTGAACCATACCTGACTCGAAGTAATTTCGCAATCAACCGTCGTATCTAATTTTGTGCAGCATAATATAGGATCTATTTTGTTTCAAGAAATAAATTTATGTGCACATATATATTCTAGAATTGCAAGCTTTGGTACAATTACAAACAGGCAAGCATATAGTTTCATTTAATAATGATTCGCTCTAAGAATAAACTGAGAAATTAGTCACAAAGAGTTAATGTGTGTTTCATATATTTTGATACGAGTAAAATTTTAAAATATAATTTTGATATCCACAAAATTTGTTGAACTTACATTAAATAAAATTTAAATTTATAATATTGAAAAGGAGCTTGTACTCCATTTTGCTATATATTTTTTAATGTTTCGAAGATATACATTCATATAATATATGAATTCGTATAGTATATTATTATTCAATATGAAACGATATTAAACTTATGAAATCTTTTTATTTCTGTCTTTTGTATGCGATGTATCCTTTTCGTAGCTTTCCTAGAAAGCTTTTGAGACGTTGTTCTCGACACATTTTGTCTAGGTTAAATACAAACGGAAAAATTCAAACATAATGTTATTATTAAAACACTATATTGTTCGGAAAAATTCAAACGTAATGTATTATTAAAATACTATATATTGTTCGTGAAATTAACGTTTCATTTTTGGATGTCTATCGCTGTGTGCGATCGACCTTAAGCATTAACCGATCATCAAATTACATGACACCTGCACGATTGGGTATGCACCTCGGCGGTAGTCGCGCATCATCGATCTAACGATTTATTGTCGAAACACGTAGCATGTGACATTTATCAGGATAATAATTAATTGTGGGTTACGCAAGGGGAAGGGAGGCCGCGGATGACTAATGGCTAAGTCATTCTAGCGCATTGAACCGACATCGATCACTCGTGTATTTGCTATCTTTGAAACTCTTACAAAATATGAATCATGATTCTGCTATTTTCAAAATATTTTTGTAAATAGTTTGAATAGACTGGATAATTACTCCACACAAACTTGAAATTGAGATTCTTCTTGATTGCACCTCGTGTGACTTGTGTACAAAATTGCGAACTTCGTAATGATTTTTAGACTTTTAGCATGAATTATATAGGTAAAATTAATTCTTTATGAGTCTTTTTATTACCGCATAAATTGTAAATTTTATTAACATTTGAA